TCTCTCTCTCTCTCTCTCTCTCTCTCTCTCTCTCTCTTTACTTGCATGCACATCATCCTCTTCACTCAAGAGTCTATTTTGCACTATTATGCCATAATGGGTTATGCATGAGAAAAGCTGTGCTACGTTAGCAGTAGGGGCTGCTTATGTGAGGGGTGCTGCATAAGTAGATTTATATTCGAAGTTTTTCAGTGCGGATTTTAAGTTGACTTGATTATTGCAGTTGTACACTGATCCAGTGCATGGATATGTATTCCGCTCCAAGAAGGATGTTTTGCGCTATCTACAGACTGGGGACATTAGTAAATGTGCTATAAAACCTGTCAAAAGGGATCTAGATGCAACAATGAAGGAGAGTTCTGTAAGTCATTTACATTTCTGCACCTCCCTCCGGTTCTCCTGTCACCTCTGTTATTGCTATTTGTTGGATAAGCTCCATTTCCACATTACTGCTAAAACTTGTTGGTCATATTAGTATGATGGTGCCTCCAGTGCTATGCGGCAGTTTCAACCCTCTACTAGTAAATCATATTAGATCCAGTAAAGAACTGTGGTGAAGTTGGTGCCTTCTGTATTTTGTTTCAGGAAGAACCTCTTCTGAAATAGGTATGCTTTGTTCTGAGACAGAGTGGCTGAACTAGGGAATACTAAAAGGAACACAGATTAAATCTGTGAAAGCAGTAACTTGAGTCAACTACAACTTGTCAAGAGTGGATAGCCTAGTTGTAAAGCCTGTCCACCTCCAAGCAGGTTGGGTTTGAGTCATGAAGGGGGGAAAGTGGGGAAGGGTAACTGTTGGATCCGGAGTAGGGGATTTGGGCGGTGGAGTTTATCCTTATCTCTCTCTCTCTCTGAAGATGCAGATGTTTCCCATGTTTAAAGAGAATAAATCCATATCATACTATGTAGCTTGTGATACTATACCAACTATGCTCAAGAGGGTTAGAAGGAATGACTCAGTACCTTCTGTTTCCAGTTTGAACCATGAGCATTATGAACAACCTTTTCTTCTAAGTTCTTTAAATAGGAAAACCATGATAAACTCTAGCTAATGCTATAGAAGGTTAAAAGAAATGACTCCATACCTGATGGTTCCCGGATCTGAACCACCATCCTGGGCATTACCATTGTCCTTTTTCTTGTAAGTTCTTTAAATGAGGGGGAAAATCTTTATATATAGTATTTTACATATCGAATTTAACTGTTCACGTTGAATGTCTTTTCATTGTATTAACATTTCACTGCATGTCTTAACTCTTTATATAATAGAATAACCTTGATCTTTTTCTAATGAAGTGGTTTCATTGATGGCATCAAGAAGATGCAAAGAGTACAAAAGAGAGTTTGTTGGCCTCTATTACATGAAGTTCTATGCTTAGGATAGGAGCTAACAAAGTCCAAAAGTTTGTCAGGGGTATTTACAGGAGATAGATTGCACCAACTAAATAAAGATAAAGACATCTAGTGCTTAAGGGAGTGAATTGGAGTGGATATTCCATCAAAATATCTGCGGTTCCTTCTGTCTAAAAACACCAAAAAATTCTTGCAGGGATCACTTTCCAGATTTTCCTGATGGATTTACCAACTTTTCAAGAGCTCCAATATTCATAAGCATACTTAATATTCTTTTGCGTGACCCTGAAGTTTCCGTACCTTGTTTTAACTTTTAACTAGCCCTTATTTTATTGTCATGGGCTGTAAGCACGAATCCCCTATGTATTTCACTGTTTGTGATGAGATTCAGTTTTGGCAAGCTCAATTATTTGATCTCAGGACTAATGGATGTTAATTTACTTTGAATGCGAGAATTTTCTGACGGTTGAAAATTTTCTTTTTGGTAGCCCGCAGCACATAACACCAGTTCGAAGAAATTAGGGGGCGCTATGACTGAAAGGCAACCTTTTGCTGCTGAGGAATCCAGAGGTGATACTTAGTTAATATTCCCTTGCACCCCAACTTTTAGAGGAGATATATCATTAATTAAGTATCAGGGCATCACTAGCAGTCATTTCAATTCTTTCATTCTACTCTTTTCCCTTGGTATATGTCGTATAAACTAAATATCAGTAATAATTTCTCAATTCTGAAGCTGGGATTGCTGATGTAGGTGAAAAACGTGCTGTTACTTATTCACCGGGAGTACAAGCTGAGAGTTCCAAGAAACAGCGTGAAACCAGTGCCTCCAATGCAAACACCGGTATTACATCAGCGGCTGATATAAACACAAAGCATTCATGTGAAAATGTTATTGAAAATGCTGAAATGAGTCTGGACAAGGAGCCAGAAATAAGAGACTCAAATGCAGACACAAAAGTCATAACTGCTGAAAGTGTGGTTGCTGAAAGGCTATCAGCTGTTTCAACTCCTCTGTCAGATCTACTCCCAGGGCAGCAATTACCAGAAAATGAGCAGGAAAAACATATTAATAAAGAAACACCAAAGCAGTCGAGAAGATCCAGAAATAAGAAGTCAATTACACCTGGTCGTCGGATCTCAAAAAGACTTGTCGGCCACAGCCCAGAACCAGTGGCTAATTTGGATCTAGGTGAACGTGCTTTTCGAGCTGTGGTTAAGAAATCTGCCTCTTTGGGCATTCCCCTGAATGATTGTTGTCAGGAACTTGCCCAGAACGAAGATCCTACAGTTCCTACTGGCAATTCTGATCAGGCTTCTCTGAGCAGAGAAGCTTCAGTCGATGAATTACCACCAGGCTTAGAAAAGGAAACACTTGCCCCGAACAAAGATCCGACAGTAGGAACTGGCAATTCTGATCAGGCTTCTCTAAGCAGAGAAGCTTCAGTGGAGGAATTACTACCAGCCTGGGAAAATGAAATACTTTCCCCCAACAAAGATCCTACAGTAGGAACAGGCAATTCTGATCAGACTTCTCTGAGCAGAGGAGCTTCAGTGGTGGAATTACCACTAACCTGGGAAAAGGAAATACTTGCCCCGACCAAAGATCCTACAGTAGGAACAGGCAATTCTGAGCAGGCTTTTAGCAGAGAAGCTTCAGCAGATCAATTACCACCAGGCTGGGACAAGGAAATACTTGCCCCGAACAAAGATTCTACTGTAGGAACTGGCAATTCTGATCAGGCTTCTCTGAGCAGAGAAGCTTCAGTGGAGGAATTACGACCAGCCTGGGAAAAGGAAATACTTCCCCCCAACAAAGATCCTAGAGTAGGAACGGGCAATTCTGATCAGGCTTCTCTGAGCAGAGAGGCTTCAGTGGATCAATTGCCACTAGGATGGGACAAGGAAATACTTGCCCCGAACAAAGATCCTACTGTAGGAACTGATCAGGCTTCTCTGAGCAAAGAAGCTTCAGCGGATGAATTACCACCAGGCTGGGGAAAGGAAATACTTATCCAGAACAAAGAACTGAGCGGAGAAGCTTCAGCGGATGAATTACCACCAGGCTTTACCTGGAATAAAGGTCCGACATTAGGAACTGGCAAATCCGATCAGGCTTCTCTGACCAGAGAAGCTTCAGCAGATGACTTACCACCAGGCTTCACCTGGAATAAAGGTCCAAGAGTAGGAACTAACAATTCTGATCAGGCTTCTCTGAGCAGAGAAGCTTCAGCGGATGAATTACCACCAGGCTTTACCTGGAATAATGGTCCGACAGTAAGAACTGGAAATTCTGATCAGGCTTCTCTGATCAGAGAAGCTTCAGCGGATGAATTACCACCAGGATTTACCTGGAATAAAGGTCCGACAGGAAGAACTGGCAATTCTGATCAGGCTTCTCTGAGCAGAGAGGCTTCAGCGGATGAATTACCACCAGGCTTTACCTGGAACAACTGTCCGACAGTTGAAACTGGCAATTCTGATCAGGCTTTTCTGAGCAGAGAAGCTTCAGCGGATGAATTACCCCCAGGCTGGGAAAAGGAAATACTTGCCCAGAAGAAAGATCCTACTGTAGGAACTGGCAATTCTTATCAGTCTTTTCTGAGAAGAGAAGCTTCAGTCGATGAATTACCACCAGGCTGGAAAAAAGAAATCAGAATTAGGCAAAACGCTCGTGGGATAAGAAAGGACCCGGTATTTCTCTTTCTTCCTCAGCATTTCTGTCTCCCTCTCCCCTCCCTTCCCCCGCGCGCTTCTCTCTCCCTCTCTTTCTCATGCACATCATCCTATTCAAGCAGAGGAAGGTTTACACCATTCTGCAGAAATGGGATATGCATGAGAAAGGGTGCTTCTGGAGAAGTGTTATGTCGCTGTTTATGTGGCAGGCATGGAATACTGCATTAGTATTTGTAGTTAGTATCTTACGGTAACTTGGTCATTGCAGTTTTACACGGATCCAGTTCATGGATATGTATTTCGCTCCAAAAAGGATGTTATGCGCTATCTGCAAACTGGAGACATCAGTAGGTGTGCAATGAGACCTGCCAAAAGGGATCCGGATTCAGAAATGAAGGGTAATTCTGTAAGTGCACCTTTCTGGATCCCCCACCTCGGGTTTCCTGTCAACTCTATTCTTGCTACTTGTTTGATAATGCCTGTTCTCCATGTTACTGCTATTCAGCTTGCATATAAATTTTGTTGATCGTATTTGTATGAACCCTTTACTAGGAAGATATATTCGATCCTGTAAGAACAGTGATGAAACTTTGTTTCGTGTATTGGAGGTGCTCTACACCCATTATTAAACAGACATGCTTCTTCTGAGACTGAGTGGCTGCTTTAGAGAACACTCACAGGGAAGATAAATTTGAAAGCAATGACCTTATCCAAGTTCAAAGAGAGTAAATCCACATCATACTATTTGAATTGGAATATGTGGAGACAATAGCTTATGTGAAACTATTGCTAAATATGATGTCATAGAAGGTTAAAAGGAATGACTCAGTGCCTTAAGAGTTACCAGATCTGGACCACCACCCTGAGTATTATCCCTATCCTCATAAGTTCTTTAAATGAGGGAAGTCTTTATAAATTATAGCTGAAAACGTTTTTCTCAGGGCAAAAAAAACTATGGCTGAAAACAGTGCTATAGAAAGTTAGAGGAAAGACTCAATACCTTGTGATTTCCAGATTTCAACCACCATTTCAAGCATTATATAAGCTTTTGTTTTCTTTGTGAGTTCTTAAACAAGGAGGATAATCTTTATGTCCAGCGTCTTGCATATACAAATAATCATGCATGTGGAAACTTTAAGTAGAATGCCCTTTCATTGGATTGACATTAAGCAGCATGTCTTTAATGGGCGACAGTAATCACAAATCCTTTATGCATAGTTCGTGACAAGATTGGAGTTCGGCAACTTCAATTTTTCAGTTCTCAATACAAGTGTATGTTGATTTTCCTTGAAAGGGAGAAATTTCTGACGGTTGAAGCTTCTTTCTTTTGATAGCCCTCAACACGTGGCGCCAGTTCAAAGAAATTAGGGTGCTCTTTGTCCAGAAGACAAGCTTTTTCTATTGAGGAATCAAAAGGTGATACTTTTTTGTTGGCAATTTTGCTGAATTCCTCCAATTTACTCGTCATTTATGTTTGTTCTGTTGAATTCTCTAATCGTTGAGAGTTATTTCTGAATTCTGAAACGGGAGTTGCTGATGTAGGTGGAGAGTGTTTTGATACTTATTCACTGGCACTACAAGCTGAGAGTTCCAATGAACATCCTGAAAGCAGTGTGTTCAACAGCACCATTATTTCATCTACTGTAGCTGATATAACAGAAAAGCATTCATGCGGAAATGTAAATGTAGATGCTGAAATAAGACTAGACATGGAACGAGAATTAAGAGACTCAATTGGAGACACAAAAGCTATAGCTGCTGAAAGTGTTGATGTTAAAAGGTCATTAGCTGTTTCCCCTCAGACGGTGTTCTTCCCAGAGCTGCAATTACCAGAAAATAAGAAGAAAAAACATAGTAATAAAAAATTGCCAGCGCAGTTGAGAAAAATTAGAAATGAGGAGTTATTTACACCGGTTCGCCGGGTTTCAAAGAGACTCTCAGGCCACTACTCAGAAGTGGTGCCTGATTTAAATGTAGGTGAATGTGGTCCTGGATCTGTCTCTTCAGGCCATCCCCTGACTGTTTCTGGTCGGGAATTGTCCCAGCAAGCTGATCTGGCCATTTCGGATCACGCCTTTCTAAGAAAAATAGCTTTATCACAAGATGATCAGTTGGAAATTGTGAAGTGTCCTTCAGAGGGCCAAGCTTTTAAAGAGCAGAAAGCTGCGAAGGAATTAACAAGTGAGAAACAAGATGATAGAAGAATATTGCGAGATCCTCAGCCAGCTGAAATATCATATGAAATCGGAAAGGTTCACTTGGAGCACCAGGTGGTTAAAGAAAGGCCTACAGCACAAGACAGTCAGAAGAGATTATTGAACAATTCTTGGCCAGCTCAATTAGCATCGGGAAGTAGGGTACTCCCTGTGGAGAACCAGTATGTTTCGGAAAGGTGTTCTGTAGAGCAGGTAAGTGAGAAACGCGATTATGAGAACATGCAATGGCGAGATTCACAACTAGGTGAATCGTCACAGAGAAGTAGAGAGCTTAATGTGGAAAACCAGCCTGTTAGAGAAAAGCAAACAGGAGAGCTAGTAACTGAGAATCAAGATGAGCAGAGCAGAAGGTTGCAAGCACAACTAGCTTCTTACCCATTTGGGGATTATTGGTCAGACCCATGCTTGGAATTTGCATTCAAGACCCTTACTGGTGCAATACCAGTAGAAGATACCCTCGCCTTTCAAGGATCTTCCCAGCAAGAATTCAATACTTCTTACACTCAGGCTGATGACGGGTGCTTTGAACTGCCATTATTCAACACTTCCAGCTTTTACATGAATGATGTTCCTAGCCATTGCGCTCCATCAGAGGAGCACGTCCCGCAGGAGCAACCGCCAATAACTCAAACCTTTTTGCCCACTGGAAGTAATAGCATGCCAGGTTGCAGTAGTGTTGTTTCTCAAAGTCCAGGTTTGGACACCCAGGCTAAGGACTATCAATCTAAAGTTAAATCGCAGTGTCCAGGTATGGACACCCAGGCCAATAAATCAAACCTTTTTGCCCACTGGAAATAATTGCACATCGGGCTGCAGTAGTGTTGTTTCTCAAAGTCCAGGTTTGGACACACAGGCCAAGGACTATCAATCTAACGTCAAATCTCAAAAGTTGAATCAGAGCGCTTTAAGAGACAGGTGTTACGTGTATCGATGGATCAAGTAATAACACGGAACTGCTCTTTTGTGAATGCATTTTTGTGCAGCTATTACCCTCTAGCTGTTTTATTTTTTTGATGCAGTTTCTATAGTTGGGGAGACTGTCTATAATTGGGTGAAGATTGACAACAGGTGATATGCTTCATCATATGTTTGTGGGATGAGATGGATATATTAGATTTGTTCGATCCAGGTGGTCTGAAATGTAGATGCAACTTTTTGAATATTTAGATCTCACGATCAGTAGTACTTTAGACAATCTTTTTCCCACTTAAAAAGGCATAATAGACAAATGTTTGCTAAATGTTTTCTGTATAAGGTACGATCTCTAAGCTTTGGTAGCACATAATTTTGTCGCTGTTTTCTCTCTCTCTGTGGATTGATTAGGGATTATAGCTTGTGGTGACATGAATCGGGAGTGGATCTCGTGGTGTCTTGATTCATCCAAGTATTCCTCTTCACACAGGAAATTATCTATGAAACTTGAAACAAGGTTATAAAATGAGTGTCAGGCTCTAGGCGTATGTCAGTTATCCTTCGGAATTTCTTTGTTATTACAAAAAAAGAGGTGATTTCTTCACCAGAATTTCAGATCTTATACCGCATGATCTTGGAACTTGGCAATTTGGAAGCAATTGTAAAATCATATTACATGATAATCCTTATATAACAACTCATGAAATAATAAATCGAAAATCATGGCAAAGAGCACCAAGCAAATTCTTCCCTCTTCTCTCCACAAAATCACAAAAAAAAAAAAAAAAAAGGAAAAGAAAA